GGTGGGGGTGGGGTTGGGGGTGACGGTGGTGGGGGCGTAATGGTGGCGATGATGGCGATGATGGTGGTGGTAGGGGTGGCTGCGATGGTGGTGGTGGTGGTGGTAACGGTAGTGGCAGTGGTAGCGGTGGTAGAGGTAGTATTTGGGCGGTTTCAAACACTATTTTTTTTTTAGTATTTTGAAAAATAATTTCTAAAAATACTTTTAAAAAGTCACTCCAAACTAAGGAGCCTATTTTTCCTATTAAATTTATAGTGTTAATATTAACCGTTAGATTAACTTTAAAGTAAAATTTAAAGTGACTTCAACCGCGAATAACAAAAATCATTTTGTTTTTCTTTTGAAATTTGAATTGTAAGCTACTTTATTATATAGATGTGTGTGTGTGTGTGCAATAAAAAAATAATTTTAATGTTAGCATGAAAACAGTGAAACTAAAAATGATATATAGTATTTATGATAGGGATAATTAAGTAATAAAAAAAAAGAATTTGAAATGTATATTTAATGACAATAATTTGATGAAAAAGAGGACTTAATAGAGTATAAGTCTAATTGTGGTACTTAAAAATAAATAAATTCTAAAAAAAATATTCATGGCCAAATATCCAAATAATCTTCTCCAACTATATACTACTTACCTAGGCCTGAGACCATCACTTAGGCAATATTGGCTATTGTAATGATTAATTTTCACACAAAATCTCCAGTCTTTTATTTATTAGTCTTTGGTTCTATCCATTTGGTGACCACAACAAAGTACTCACTATGTCGATTCCCTCTTTTTGTGCCCATAGGTAGAAATCCCACTATGTTTATTCCCACTTTTGACGATAAGGTTTAGGTGCTTGAAGGATTGGAATTGTGGGTATATCTTAACGTCTTTTGGGGCATCGGTAAGAATTTACAAATATGCCTCTTTTTAGAATCTTGGCGAATTGGACAGGAATTTATGATTTTGATGTTGTATAACCATATTGTACTGTTTTTTTTCCTGATTGTAATGCAGTGCCTTCTTGTTGTGTTGCAAAATCCGTTGGACAATTCCTCCACTTTTGCTCTCACGGTATTTGACGGGACTTTTGGCAGCTTGACAGTAATAAGTGAACATGTGAACAGTTACAGTTGCCAAAGAGTGTAAAGGGCGTCTGGGAGGAAAGGCGCTAAGGAGTCATAACCTGGAAGGCAAATTACGCCCCTCAGACCCTAGCGTTAAAAGGGATCTGACAGGTCCTTAATGAGGTCTTGAGTGACTGTGAGAAAATCATTAATGAGCATTTAGGTCTGATAAACATATAATAGAAGATCAATTGTAACAGACTTTTAATTTAGGCTTATACCAATCTATAACTCTATCTTCAGTTATAGAGTTCTAGCTTATCCTGTAATTCATTCTTATCATGACTCCTTTCTGTAATTATAAATACAAGTAGTTCACCCATTTATGAGTAGCAATTACACAATATTTAATTCTCTTCCTCTTTTATGGTATCAGAGCCTAAAAGCATTTGTCAAATTTTTTTTAAAACTGTGATGACATCTTCCAATCTTCCCACCTCTTTTCCACTCACTAATATTACCAGTTCTGTCTCCGTAAAGCTTGATGGAAACAACTATCTTCTCTAGCGTGATCAACTTGAATCGATGTTGATTAGCACCAATCTACTTGGACTTCTCGACAGCTCGGCCATTCCTCCATCACCAACTGTTACCACTTCCTCTGGCCAACCTGCACCAAATCCAACTTACTCTACTTGGCACAAAACAGATTAGTTCGTCAAATCATGCACTAATGCCACACTAATTGAATCACTTTCCTCTCAAATACTTGGACTCAAGACTGCAAAGGATGCTTGGGATGCCCTAGAAAACCTTTATCAACAACAGGTAATGGCATGAAAATCATATCATCTAAAGGACCTTCAAAGTATGTTCAAAGGCACTGAAACAATCACTGATTATCTTCATCATATCAAATCACTCTCTGACTCTCTTGTTG